AACTGTGCCACCCATCTCCTCAAGCTGTTGCTGAGGGATCAGTTTGTAGATGCCTCGAACAGTCCACAACTGAAGATACAAGTAAAGCAAGCACACCCCTCTACTATGCAGGATGCAATGGCCAGAGCCCTCTTTTTTTTAATATATAAGCCTGGTGAGAAAAACCAACTGCATTGCAGAGATAGATAGATAATTGAGTCAAGCGAACAGTAGGCACCGTAAGTAAAGTGTGTGAATTGCTGTGATTTATAGCGTGTGTTATAAAGGTTGTTAAGTTTAAAGTGACTGTGGAAATTCTGTGTATTACTAAAATTTGTATCGAGAAAGAATAAACTAGTTTTAATAAAGAAAGGACTTGTATCGCTGAAGTTTCTCGGAAAGAATTTCTACGGGAAATTAACAAAGAAGCAGATACGTAACAGTATGCTTCATTTTATTAATGGACTTCAATTTATGGCGATTTTTTTGGTAAATAAGTTTGTGTGTCAGAACTTATGTTAATAGTATACTTGTTTCACATGGTGGTAGAGCTTTACAAAGTGATTGCATATTGAAAATGTAATCAAAAGAAAATATCAAATATGTAAGAAGTTAATATAAAAAATAGAATAGTATAGTAAAATCTTATTTTCAGTAGTCAAGTATTTTTAGGTAGCCAACGACCTGATTTAGTTTTACTGTGTGTACTTTTAGTACTGTGTTTTTATTTCAGCATCTATGTGTTGAGTTTCTGAAAAGGTCAGACACTAAGTACCAATTGAAGAGTTAATCATTTATCAAATAACAGTGTAAGAATGTTTTGATTTACTTAATTTTTTCTAACTCAAGGTGTTTTATGTTTGTAAACAAAATGTCATCTTATTATAGAGAAAATATGAAACCTGATTAAGAAGACTTGGCTAAAATGTCAATTTTCTGATAATATGTGTATGAAGATTTTTACCAAAATTTAATTTAATTCTCATTTACTGTTACAGATAAAAGCTTAGGTGTTGGACTAGGAATGTGTGCAACTCTTGGCATAGCTGGCTGGCTCAAGAGATTTGGTATTGACAATGGATTTGTTTGGTTTCCAGTAAAGGAGGACAGACAGGATACTTTCCTGAATTACTATAAGCATGATTGGAGCAAAAATATAGTCCCTGACCCAGGAAAAGATCAGTAAATGATTTGAGATCATTATTGATAGTAGTTTAGACAAATCCAGTAATTACACAAATAAAACTGCTTTAAGCCCGCCAATTGTTTCTTTTTTTCAAAGACACAGTGGATCAAGTGAAATAAGTGTAGGGAGACATTGTAATGTAAATATCTTTAGAGAAATCAATAAAACAATATAATGCTTAAATGTGTTTTGTATTGATTTCTAATTGTGATATACATAAGTGATAAATGACAAACAGGTATTTGCTCATTAGGAGTTGACTTTAGGTGGTAAAAGCACTGTCACTTTACTTTGGATTCCTATAGTCTGAAAAAAGTACTTGACAGTAATAAGAAAAAAGAACATTAGAACCGTGAGAGAGTAAATGAGAGGTAACTTCTAATCAGCACATTTTAACATAGAATACTAAACTAAGATAATGTGTTAGTGTTATCAAATATTTGGAAATATTGAAGGAAAAATTTTTATAACTAACTGTTGTAATTAGAAAGACAGAATTTTAAAGATAATTAAAAAAATGTTTGTGTTCCACTGGACCTTCATAACTGTAGGAAGTGTTTTAAGAAATTTGGACAATTCCAACTCTACAGGATTTATAAACTTATTTGAAAATTCACTGGATTTTCTGCTGACAAGAATCAAAGTATATAGAAAACCATCTTGTTGCTTTCCAAGTCTGAGATTGACTAACAAAGATTAAGTAAGTAATCAGTAAATTTTGACCACTTTTTTATCATATTAATATTATAATACACAGGGCTGAATTTTAACGGTCATCTGAAATGACTAAAAACTTTCACGGATGACCAACTTAAACCTCTGTGTTGTCCAAAGGATAACTAGTGGCCTGGAACAGACCCTTACTCAAAACAGCATTTTAGTCTACTGTACACTTATCCATTCCCACACTACACACATAGTGTTGACTCTGATCCTCAACCAAAATCATTGGTAAATTCTCTAACTACAGACTCAAAAATTTGAACCCCCACAAGAATAACTTTTGGCCCATTTTTTTTCTTAAAAAAACGATTGTACTTTGTGCAAGAGAAATGTTGGTACAATCCACCAAAAGGGGCTGAAAACATTAAAAAAGTTTGCTTTTGTGATTGGCTAATAATACTGTTTTAGTCACTAAACTTTCTATCATGGACAAGCTGTGCCTCTGTGGTGTTTTATGCATGGACATTTTGTATGGAGTTCAACGACCATGAATGGCTGTGTGGTAACATTACAGTGTATACAGCTTAGAGGCAGGAATTTGCAACAAAAACAATCACTAATAACATGAATATTTAGTGAGATTAATTTCTAGTATAAATATTTACAATAATAAAACTAACATGGTTGTATCAACTAATAAACTAAAACAATCAAATTTACAAAACCAAACTCAGAATTTTCGTCATTGATCTTCATAGTTAAAACAGTGAACCCTTTCGATTATGCATGTATAAGCCTAAGGCTAACGTTACATAGACACAAACAATCGAGTCTTGGGAATATGGAAGGCCTAGCTACCATGAGAAAAATCATGAATTAAATAGAAAGTAATGATGATAACTGCAAACAAAATTTTATGAAAATTTTGATCAGTATGAAACAGAATAACAATAAATAAAATAAGGCTAACTTTGTCTCTCTCCGGGTTAATACAAAATTACGGGTTATGATTGACAACACATATCAGCAGTATGTGTGTGTGTGTACATATGCAGCACTCGAGCATTGTGCACACATATTATGGTATAATTGTATGTATGAGAATTCCAATGCAAGTCTAGTCTTACTACAGGCTGTACTTGGCAGGCAGGCCAAACTGGTTAAAATGAAGACATTGAACATGACTGGCCAAGATTGCTGTTTTGTTTATGTTTTACAGGTCATTGACTGTTTGTTTCCTTGAGATATTATGTAACATTAGTATGGTTTGGGCTTCTTTTTTTCCAATATAATGAAACTTTCCAGGAAATAAGGCAACAAAATTAGTCGAGTGAAAATGCAAAATAAAAAGTAATTGTATTTTTTGGAAATAAATAAGATATACAAACATCAAGCTTCTTGTAATTGGGTCTTTGTACATTGATATTGTCATAATAGGATCTTTCAATACAGCCCTCCAGACAACCTGGAAATTTCCTTAAAAATCAAGCTCTGCAATACTTTTTTTTTTTTTTGTATCAAAATATTGATATAAATTGTGAAAAAATGTGTAACTGGTATATATTTGTTGAGACAAAAAACAATCTATTTTGGCATGAGATCATATAAATTCTCCTTAGATGTCTGCTAAAAGCTCATCGGGTTGATTTGAAAAAAAATATTTTTAGGGCTGTTGATGTGTAACATCCCAAAAGAATTGTCGTAAAATTTTAATTTAATAAGTCCATCTTATACCTGGAGAACCAATTTACATATCATATTCTTTTTCTGGCATGTGCAGATGTGTTTAACAGTCTTTGTTCATGAAAATTGGTATGTATAGTTCCTTGACCACTATGTCGGTCATATCCCACTTGGTCTGGTAAGCAAAAGGCCTCATTGGTACTGATACAGCAGATGTTTGGTTGAAATATTATCACAGTCTTTGCCTTCACTCGTAGGTTCTTAGAAGTGTATTAAGCCAGGGCTTGAAATGAGTGGTGTCTACTGTAGCTGCCTAAAAGTCTGTGAGTTCTAGTATTGAAGCAGTGACAATTGAGGGGCACTGGTATTTATATTTCCAGTTCATAATATAATCTGAGCATGTTTATGAAAATTCAGACAGTTTTATACAATCATAAAAGTCTCGCACACAAAAAAATAAATCTGGGTGCAAACGTAACATTTGTAAGGAAAACTACATTACAACAATTAAGTTTTTCTGATTGTTTATTTCACATCTTTCAGTGGGCTTCTGAAAGTTAAAATAGCAAGTTTAAGAAATGAATGCATTCAATAGTTTTTCGTTATATATATATATATATATATATAATGTACAAAGTTAATGGTGGCCTTTGCTAGTTTATGTGTTTGTGACACCTCTTCACTGTCCGATAGTAATTGTTGTCATGATCAGTACAGCCAAGGTTAATAGTACAGGTCTTAACCCTTTCCTTGGTTTACTTTATATAACTGGTGCTTTCCATGTTTCGAAAAAGATTTGCAAGAGTTAATATGGGCCAACCATTTTTTGCCATTTTTTTTATTATTTGCATGTTATCATATATTAGAATCAGTGCTCTCCAGATGACATTGTTTAAGCTGATCTTCCATCAGTTTATTCTGAATTATGTATCAAAAACTGGAGAAAAGCATTCCTATCATTTACTGTAGTTTCATTGAAATTATATACTTGTATAAATTTAAATATGTAAATATTTTGTCAAAAAATATATTAACAGATCATGAAAACTTTTGTTTCATTAATATATAAGCTATCAAAAAAGAGAGAGAAAAAAAAAACACCTGTATTTGAAGTAATTTTAAAATGTTTGTACTTGTCATAACATATTTAAAAAAAGTGAACTTCCCCAGAAATTCAAATTATATTTGATAAAGGGCACTTGACTCATGAAACTGTTTTTCTTTTTAATGTAACTGGAAGACATTTACCAGTTGCCATAAAAGTTGTTAAGGTTAAAGCCCTGTAAACCACTAATATAGTTGTCTACAAAATTTCCTAATCTTTATTGTAACTGTTCCTGTGTGTAGGGTATCCTGTTTCTCAACTTGGGTATTTTTAATAGATGTGACCATTTTCCATCATTTCTCTATAGGTTTTGAGAAAACTTGAAAAAAAAAAAATAATAGTCTGTAGGGCTGACCTTTAAGTATTAGACAATTATCCAAATGGTGTAGTTAATTCAATCTGAGGTGTTCTTTTGAATTTAATTTATTTCCTGCAAGTGTGTGAATAATTTCCTTGCAATTATGTTTAGTGAAAAGTTCACATTTATAGTGCAAACTAGGGTGAGCATTAAATTAATTGACTCTTTGATGAAGTCCTTCGTTGAGAAAGTTATGTCTAAATTTGGCAAATAGTTAAAAGTGACCTCAAAATTATTAATATATAATTTAAAACAAATATTTTATGACTTATTGCAAAAGATGGAGTCTTAATTAATGATTAATCCTGAAATTTCTTTTGCTGTTAAAATTATCCAAATGATACTTTAATTTTCTCGATTAAAATGTTTTTTAAGGTCAGTAGTGAATACCACTTTTGTTTGGTTTTTTTTCTTTTAAACTATTTGTTCCAAACTTTGATCAAATTGTAAGTTTTGCAAATGACCTAGCTTCAATGATTGTGATTAGAAGTGCTAATGCATTTTCATTTTTTTAAGGATATCAGACCTTTAGTTCTAGATATGCATAAAAATGTAAAGATGTAACCGTGGAGATCTACATTAAGGATCAGAGGTTTACTGTACTTATATGTAATTAAGTCATAAGCTCTATGTATTAAATTCAAGATTATCTCAGGATCAGTATTGGTCAAAAATACTAGAAAAGTCAATTATTTCATAGTTAACTTAATCAGATGACTTAAAAACTGACAGTTGTTATTAACTGTATATCATTTCAGTCCTGCTCTAACCAAAAGCATTCTAATCATTTGTGCACAGGGTGAATATCAGTTCTTAATTACTACATATACTGTCACAAGGAGCATTCTGTCCATTTATATAATAATATACAATACAAAAAAAAAACTATAGTTAGTTATGTAAATGATTTTGTTCTGCAATACTGTGTAGGATAGATTCAATAAAACATTACACTGCATGTTAGAATTTATGCATACTTTTATTTAAAGAGGAATCAAAGAAAGAGAAAAAATCATGTTTAAGGTATTTTAAGCTTCAGCCTCTTGGTTTATGGATAGTAGGCAATTCAAGTTCATACAACATGAGCATAAGAACTACATCAAGACAAAAGGAATATTTTTAGAACATAGACTAGAGAAGTTTACACATGTTTAAAACTATGTAATCATGATGCACTACAAAATAAAAAGTAGATAACCATAGCATTACTTTTAATATTTTGGTATACAAAATCTATTAATCCCACCAAATTCTGAAAGTTTTTCTGTATTCTAAATAAATTATATATATATTTTTTTCTCTTGTTTCTTGATTGAAAGAATACTAATTAATAACTATGCATGTAAAATTACAAAGAAAACATAAAAGACCATTAATATTTTATAACGATATTTGTGTATAGCACATCAATAAATGAAATTTTTTTAGAGTTCATTTACACACCCAGTGAATAAAATTATCCCAGTCCTTTTGTCCTTTATGAAGAAAAAGAATGGATGGTGTGCATAAAAGTTTGGTTGATAAGTAAAACCAATAATACCAACACCTGTTGCAGCAGTAGCCATGCTGCCTTTCTCATTTACTTCAATAGTAGCATGATGTTTAACATGAGAAACAAACATGTCCCTTCCACCATTGATTCCCGATAGGTCTGCTTTTTCTTCCGAGAATAGGCTTAATAGGCCAAGTGACTGCAGTGTCTCAGAAAGTTCTTTCTTATATGATAGCGTAAATTTGGGTAGGGTTACATCAACTGTAGTTTTTGTCAGTTTTTCAGTGACTTGTTCCAATATTTTGGAGCTCAAACGTCTTTCTAAGTTTAAAATTCCATCTTTCATGACTGGAAGAATAACAAACATGCTAATGTATGTTCCATTGTAGGGTAATTCAATGACTTTGGCATCCAAATCTTCTATGTAAGCAAATGGAACTTCATGCCTTAAATACATTAATGGAACTGATTTTGGATTTTGTCCATTATTATAGAAAGTTCCTTCTTTTAGAAGGAACTCAGAAACCCAGGCACCCTGAAAGTAAACAGCATTTACTAAGACCAAACGAGTATCAGAACTCAAAGGACTTTCAAAAAGTTGCTTGATCTCATGATGCGTGTTCTTGTCTACCCATGAATTAATTTCATTAACTGATTTTTCTCCATTATTAGCAAAGTCAGTTTCCGTAATTTCAGCTTTATATATTTCTTCTAGAGTTTTTTTATAACAATTCAGTATCAAAGAATCACTTTGATAAAACATTGAGTTAGCTACAATTAGTTCGTATCCTTCTTTAGATCTTTCTATATTATGAAGAATATTTTGGAAACCTTTGTGAATGTCACCATTATAAAGTTGTTCATCATTGTAACCTAGGGCTAATTCCATCTCTTGTGCTGTTTCATGTTTGGCTCCAAGGTATACCATGCCCATGGCTACTGAGATACTCAGAGGAGAGATTAGATGATTTTCATTTTTTGGTAACTGCATGTAAAGACGAAGAGCAAACTTATTGATAGCTTTTGCTAGCTTATGTGTTACAGTGCTGGTGACACCTATCCATTCTCTTGTAGTAACTGTTGTTATGATCACTAAAGCCCAGATTAGTAGTACAAGTCTTAATTTCTGCATCTTTGTACCTGTCATAGGAGAAAAAACAAAAATTGTAATTCAACAGTATTTTAATTAATCTGCTATCTCCACTTAAAATTAGATTAATATATGTAGTGACGATTTTCATATAAAATATCTTAGTTTCAAGGGTCTAGTTTCGTTTTTAATACAATAGTGTATTCTTAAATTTATAGAAACTGATCAACCCCAAGTACTTGTTTTTTGAAAAAACGAGTTAACACGTATTTGAAAAAAGATCAAATTAACAATTACCGAGAAAATTGTGTTATGATATACTGATTTGAAGCTCCTGTAATGTATAACTTTATAACACAGATCACAATAACATTTAATAGCATGTGAAGAAAAATGAAAGGAAAGAAAATGGTAAGTGCCATAAAATTAGGAAAAACTTCTTTTGCTTGAGTATTTCTCAATGGCAGTTAACCATATTTTGTAGGTTAACAATGACTAATGTTTCGACATTACACTTATGGATGTCCAAAATATAATTTGGTGATATTACTTCAAATTTATTCCAAGAAACAACGAAAAGGATGCTTGAGCTTTTCATTACAACTATACATCAAGTAATTATTTAAATTCTTCTTAATATCATATCTTCTTAATTTTATTAGATGCTAAAAAAAAAAAATTATTATATAATTTATAATATATATTCTTCCATTATCTTGGAATGTTGGGAATATAAATATGAAATATATCCTCAGCACCCAAACAATGCATTTTACATCTTTTTCTGATGATCTTTATGAATATGAAAGTAAGAACTTGAAATTCTTAAACTCGGTAGTCACATTCTTAACTGCTAACAGTATTTCTATTGACAAGTATTCTTACAAATTTAAGGTCTATTTAATAGGTTGATAAAGTTTAACACTTCTTATATTTTCACTACCATTCTTGTTGTCAACAACTGAAAACCAAATTCTTTTATAAATTCCTTCATATTTTTCTTTATTTTCCCATACTATTCCAATACTGTATCTTTATACTCATTCAAATAACAGTTTTGTCAGTTTTTTTTTTTACCCTTCAAATACCTGAGGGTTTAACCAATGTTTAATCTACATTTATTTCACAAATTTTTTAATTTTTATACCAACTTAATATTCACTTCACACTGCAATAATTTGCAAAAAATATAGAAGAAACTTTTATGGAACTTTTCGTTATTGTTTACTCAATATTTATCATATTTCAGTATTAGTGCAATTATTTATCAAACATTTTTAAAGGGATTGTATATTTTGCTATCTTTTACTGATAAATTCAGCTTACAACTAAGATACTTGTACTAAACTGAATTGACAGTGATATACAATATGTTGATCAAAAATTTTGAACCTAAATATTTATGTATATTGTTGCTACTTCATTCTTTCTTTGTTGAAAGAATAAATTGTACTTTTTTTTAATATATCCAATTTTCTAAATCATTATTGTATCTAAATTTACAGCTGTTACCTAAATAATATTCTAATGTATTAAATGCAATCTGTAACCCAATTTTTGTTAGAGTAAAATTAACTCATTAGCATGCATTGAACAATTTACAGTAACTTATGAAATATATGAAGCATGATTTTCAGGTAATGATTTATTAAATCATTTGTATACGAGGAAAGAGCAAAGCAGAAGAAAAAAAAAGTTGTACTTAACCCACTTTTTTTACTTTCAAACATGGCAGGTAAACTTCTTTGCCTTAAGACAAGGCCTATCATGCTTATAATATAAACTGATGTTCAAATCACTAGCATTTTTTCTTCTATACTTAAAAAAAAAAAAAAGATATTACAAAACTTTTTCTTCTTCCAGTATCAATTATTGAAATCTATATGTTTGAAAAACACACATTATCACGTATTGAATAACCAAAATGAAATATTATCTATCATCTAGTTAGAATATTAATTACTAAAAGAAAT